GAGCCGCCCGCTGCAGAGCCTGCCCGCTCGCTGCTGCCGCTTGCCTGCCCGCCGCCACTGCTGCCAAAAGTCCCAGCGCCGCTGCAACCGCCGCGTTTCCAGCGTCTGCACACCTACGGTCCCGGAGCCGCGCACCGACTGCCGCCGCTTTGTGGTGGGGGGGGGCGACCTGCGCTTGGGAGTGCTTGCAGCTGACTTGCGCCCCCGCTTGGTGAGATAAATCCGGCTACCTCAGCTTACCTGCACACAAATCGCGACCCTATACGGGAACAGCGTCGGGCATATCCCTCCCCTCTTCTTCCCTCACGTGAATAAGATGTGTAACTAAGGTGTACCCATATATGTTTAATGTGTTGTAATCACTCCTTTTGAACCTCCTGCCCCAAATTGCTTTGTTTTTCCCCACAATAAACCTTGCTGTTGTTAGAAATTTAGTAAGCACTGAGCGAGTTATTCACTCAAAAAAGTCAGGACATAAGTTCCTGTATCCTCTGTGTGAGGCGATACCCACGTGTGGATCTCTCAGCAAATCCTGATAAGTTAATACACTCCAATAAGGAGATATAATAGGTCACGGATCGTGACATATTACTTTTTCTGGTGTCAGAAGTGGCGGATCGTGACAGCATCCCTGCAACAACCAAAGTGTTGTCAATGGAAACACGGACACACCTGAAACCAGAACTTCTAGATACTCTCATGAAGAGAAAGGTAAGATGGCTTTCTGGTTTCTTTTAGATTTCTAGCTTTCAACTACTATTTCAACCAATAATTATCTCAGAATTTAACTAGGGGGTGATCCTGGTTTGTTTTTGGCTAGAGAAGCTGGAGACAACTGGAGCGCCAGCCAGCACAGCACCTCCTCACACCGTGTGCCTCCCACCAGTGCCCCTTCTCCGAGATTTTAAGAAATTAAACACCCTCCTGGTGGTTCTGGAGATCCAAGACCCCAGTGTCCTGCTAACCTTCATCACTGTTGTCATCCACGAGGATGATCTCCTTGAGGAGATGGGCTGGGGTGTGGTTCACAGCGCTGTGCACCGAGCGCAGGATCACCGACAGCGCCTCGTTCACAAAGATGAAGATGATGGAGATCTGGGGCAGGTCCTTGCCATACTTCAGCTCTTTGCACCTGCAGCACAAAGGGTGGAGAGAGAGAGACAGGGTTAGCAGAGCACACAGGGTCAGCAGAGCCCTCGAGTAAGACACACATTCAGTGTGGAGCACAAGACCACAGCGTTGCACAGTCACGTTTCACAGTGCTGTGAGCTCAACTTCAGCTGTGCTGCCTGGGAGGAGAGAGCAGGGACAGAGAGCACCAAGGGCAGGGTGTCCCCTTGGCTGAGGTGGTGTTTGTGTGTCTTTGTCCCTAAGACTGAGGGCACAGAACAAAAAGCAGCCTCCAGAGTGGAGAAAGTGGCTTTACCATTTAAAGTGAAACTTCACATTCCTGTTCTAAGATTAATAGGTGCTCAGAAATGAGCTTTGTTCTTAAATGGCACTTATGAATTTTCTTCCTATTTGCTTTGGAAGGAAATGAATATGAAATGACCCTTGGTTAAATAGTCTTAATAAATGTTTTATCTCTCTTTGCAGATACTTCTGAACACATTCCTGTCTCTGAAGTGCCCCAGCTAGAGCACTGCCATGAGCTGCTGCCTTTGTACTTCACAGCCAGGACAGGTTAGAAACAAAAGCTTGTGATCATCTCTATGGGTTTCAGGAGTAATTGCTCAACTCAGCTGGTTTTGTGCTTGGGTATCTGCTCAGACACATCCCTGTGTATCAGAGCAGGACAGAAGGGGAAGGAGCTCCCAGGTCACCTACCAGCCAACATCCTCCCTGGTGTGCTATAGGTTCATGTCACACTGATACACCAGACCTTGAGCCCAAGGACAGTCCTGGAGCAGAACTAGGACAGCTCCAAGTAGAAGAGGTCTCCCAGGTAAGCCACAGCTCTCCAATGAGCACACTTTATCCCCAAAGAGACACAGATACTGCTTTAATGCTTTATCCTACCCAGAAACCTCAACTTAATTAAGTACTTGCAGAAAACAAACAGGCTATCTCAAACTACTTCAAACAATTTAATCAAACTCTCCAGCTTTTCCTACTTGTGAGAAAAGAAGAAGAAGAAAATGAGCCTCCCTGCTCCCTCTCCACACTCATGACAGATTAGACATGCAACATTAGCAGTGTTCCCAGAATTACAATGAGGTTTTACCAAGTAAATCCTGTCCAGGGAAGCAAAGAAAGACCAAAGACAGGAACGACATCCCAACGTTCCTTCAAGCTCATTGACTCCCCAACAATGACTCTATATTTAATTGTACTGGGTGTTTCTTAGGCAACAGCAGGCATCCTTCAGACTCCAGAATGAGACTTGGGAGACAAAGGTTGTCTCAGAATTGCAGTTTTTTATGAATCTTCTCTAATTGAACAAGTATGCTGGATAAAAACAGGGTTGTATTTCTTGACTTAACTATTGCCTACCCTAAAACAAGCCAAGCTCTGTACAAAAGGAAACACAGCAAATGATGAAAAGGATCTTCCAAAGGGAAGATCTCCCTTTAAAATGAATTAACAGTCATGATGGGGTAAAGTGACAATTGACTCCGATCCTGCCAAGAAAGTCAAACTAAACTGACTCCAAGATTAAAAACCTGCTTTTGATATACATTGATACCTGCTAAGCTGAAGAGAAGGTGATTACAGGAGCAAGAGTATTTCCTTTTAATCATTGCACACCTCTGGGCAGCCTTCCCCTGGGACACACTTCGGGGGGATAAAGAGCTCAGGGTGTGATCAAAGAGGTTTGGAGGAAAATCCAAACTGAGCCCTTTGAGGTTCAGTTGCTGCTCATTCACATTCACTCTGTGCTGCTCTTATCATGGTTCTCCTTCCCTGACTGCTGAGGACAGGCAGCAAAGATACAGGGAGAAGAGATAAGTCCAGAGAAAGGAGGGGGCACCTGCTTTGTTCATATGCACAAAGCTGTGATTCTGGCCCTGGAGGGAGGGAAGCAAAGGTTTGGCAGCAACACCACACTCTCCCATGGTTCTGGTTGTGACCACAGGAGCGAGGAAGGCAGCAATTTCATACTAAATAAACCTCCAGTTGGTCAGTTTTCCTCACACAGGCTCCCTGCTCTGCACACCAAGCAGCCAGGGTGGGTGATGCTCTGCCCACCTCCTGTGGGACCTCAGGCTCCATCACAGCAATTTGTTAGTGACAAGCTGACCTGTCTACAAACACGAGTGGTGCCAGGGAGGGGACGAGGGAACAAAACACAATGTGCTTGAGCTCAAATATCACTCAAAAGGACCAGTGCAGAATTTGTTAGAAACAGCAGG